GTCGTCAGCTTCATCGCGGTGGGCACCGCGCTGGCCAGCGCGGGCGAGGTCAACCTCAACCTCACAGGCATGTTCATCATGCTGCTGTCGGAGCTGTTTGAGTCGATCCGCCTCGTCATGACCCAGCTGCTGCTCACGGGGCTGCGGTTCCACCCAAGTGAGGCGCGCGCGGGGAGGGCCGCGGGCACTCGTATGAAAACTGCAGGGCTTGGGGTTGCCCCTGCACGTGTACTGCATATGTACCGCGCGTGTGCCGCACCCACGTGCCTGGGGCAGCGCCTGTCGCAGCCCCGCAGCACCGATGATCCCTCCCTCCCGTGCTCCCCTGCTCCCCTTGCAGTCGAGGGCCTGATGTACCTGGCCCCCGCCTGCACCTTCTGGCTGCTCATCGGCAGCACGGTGCTGGAGCTGCGCCCGATGCTGGCCTCCGGCGCCTTTGGGCTGATGCTGGAGCGCCCCGTGAAGTTTCTGGCGGCCGCCATGATGGGCTTTGCCGTCAACTCGCTGGCCTATATCGTCATACAGGTGGGCGGGGACAGGGCTGGCGTGTGATGGGGCCACTGTCTGGTGGTGCGCGTGGTGTGCATGGTGTGGGCGTGGGCTGGCCGACGGTGAGGGGTCCAGGAACGGGGAGAAGGAGGTTGGGCAGGGCAGGCAGTGGATGGGCTGCCGCGTGCGGCGTCGGCGCGCCTCTGCGCACCCACGCCCTGTCCTCAGTGCCTGCCCTGCCCCGCCCGCCCGTGTGCGCCGCAGTCTGCCTCCTCGCTCACGCTCAAGGTGCTGGGCACGGTGAAGAACGCGCTGGTGGTGTGCCTGGGCATCGTGCTGCTGGCTGAGAAGGTCACAGCGATCCAGGTGGGGTGGAGCTGTCTGGGCACCTGCCTGGGCAGCACCAGCGGCAGGCCTGGCGTCGGCGCCGGCGCTGGCACTGGAGGGGGTTTGTGTCGAGCCCCGGGCAGCCGCGGCTGGTGGCTGCTCCTGCCGCTGCTCCACGCGCTGCTGCCGCCGCCGCTGCCGGCCGCAGGGGATGGGGTATGGCATCAGCGTGGCAGCCTTCTTCTGGTATCAGAAGATCAAGATGCAGCAGATCTCGTCAGAGGCCAAGGCCGCGCTGGTCACGGGTGTCACCAATGGCAGCAGCGGCGGCGGCGGCATGGAGAAGGAGGGCGGCGAGGGGCTGCCGCGGTACCACGCTGTGCCAACCACGGAGGATGGCCTGGGAGACGGGAAGGCGCAGAAGTGACGGAGCCACCCCGGTCCTAGCCAGCACTGTACGACTTGCCCCCATTTTTTTCCCCATCTGCGTCTCCCGCTGCCGCGTTCCATTCTTCCAGCTCCACCTGCCGCTGGCAGCAGCGACCCGCCAGAGGCGTGCTGCCAGGTGCGAAGCGGGCCCCTTTCGTCAGTTCCACTTCTGCGCCCACGCATGCTCCCGCATGCCTCTCCCACGCTTGATGCCGCCACAGCCTGCTTTCTGGCGCTCCCTTTTTGCTAGGACGAGTGCGCAGGTTGTGCTACACACATTCCCCAACAGCATGCACGCGTTGAAATGGATGTAACCACACCTCGCCTCGCCACACGCGCAAGACAAAGAGCGGCAGTGGGAGCAAGAGACAGTTTTGAAACGCCGCTGCAACAGTAGCCGTAAGGTCCGCAGCCCTTTCCAGCAGCCCCACGCTCAAAACAGGATGGTGAAGCGCTGCTCCTTCTGCTTGGCGTCCTTCTTGCCCTTCCTGCCGCCGCTGCTGCTGCTGCCGGTGGTGACGGCGCCCGGCGTCCACACGCACGCCTGGATGGCCTCGTCGCTACCCTTGCAAAAGCCTACCAGCGGAGCCTCGCCCTCCACAACATCCCTGCACAGCGTTGCATGACAGCCAGCGGTACAGCGGAGTCAAAACCAGCCGGGACGGGGTGCCAGGCAGGCAGGAACGAAAAGTGTGGTTCAGGCGAAGCATAGCTGCACCCCGGCAGCTAAATTGCACGTGCCCTCCCATTGTCGCTCACCCTCCAAACATGAACGTCGACAGCACCTCTTCCGGCTTCTGCTGATTGCTGCTGGTAGCCGCGGGCGCCGCCGCTGCTGCCGCCGCTACCGCCGCTGGCTGCTCGCTGCCGCCGGCCGCTTTGGAGTTCTTCCCACTGCAGCAGGGCTTGGGCTGCTGGCTGCTGCACGATGGGGCGAGGCAAGAGGTTAGGGCGCCATGCAGAGCGGCCTGCAGAGCGGGCTCGCGCATCCTCATGACTTCCGGCGCCCTCACCTGCTGGCGGCTGCCGCTCCAGACGCAGCGGTATCCTCTTTCTTCTTGCCGAACATGCTTGCGCTGTCAACCCCGTCAGAAGAGCGGGGCAGGGCGGGGCGTGCTTTTGATGGCGATGAGGGTGCTGTGGCGTGCAGAACTGGCTCAATCGTTCCTCACAAGCCATCGACATGCTGCGATGGGGGTGCAGATGTGCATCTCGGCCTGCCATCCTGGCAGCGGCGGCGACGCGCGCGGCGATCCTGCTCGCCATCTGCTGCCACGGGTGGCCTGCACAGCCCAGCCGTGCGTTGCAGCCACTGTGATGGGCGTAATATATATGTAAACACCATGGAGGAGGTCAACCTTGTAATCATGTAAAGGAAAGCAGGTGACAAGGCCGCCTGCCATCTCCTGCTGCTCTTCTCCTGCTCTTCTTCCTTGCTTTCTGGTCACCTCTCCTTGCCCTCATGAGCCACCAGGTGCCCTCAGGCCGGGTGGCAGAGACCCGTGACTTTGCTGGCCCCTTCCTGCGCTTCAACAGTGGCACGGGCCCAGGGGAGGAGCACTGGACCGGCTCGGTGCTATGCCTGACGAGGCAGCGCGAGGGCGGGGAAGTGGTGGCGTGCCCGACGCCTGTGGCAGCCGCCGCAGAAGCCGCTGCGCCACGGGCGCCTTTCGCCAATGGAGGGCAGCTGGACGCTGCCAGGGATGCTCCTAGCGGCGCTGAGGACGGGCACGAGCGGCCGGTGCTCATCTTGGCTGACCGCAGCCGTGGCGCCCCCGCCGCCGAGCAGCGCATCACACCCGTGGCCTTGGACTGCTGCCTGGGCTGGACCTTCTGGCGCTTCGACCTGCGCCTCCACCTGACAGAGGCGCAGCGTCCCGTGCAGTACAGCGTGGCCGTGGGTGAGCGCGGCAGCTGCCTGCTGTGCGGTGGCAAGAGATGAACGCTGCGTGCTGCTTGCGAGCATGCCGGCAGCAGCAATCGCGCCCTGCCCCTCACCGCTGCCGCCCAGCGCGTGCGCCGCTCCTGGCTGCCCGCCGCAGGCGACGACACCACGCTGACGTTCACCTTCTGGCTGCCGGGGCTCGGGCAGCCCATGCATTGGGGTGAGGCCGTGCCCACACCGCAGCCAGGAGCCCCTCCTGCAGTGCTGCTGCCTCGCAGCTGTGCCGCATGCTGCCTGTCCCAACCTTCCCAGATCGCTCCACAAGTGCTCACACCAGTGCCTTCCTACGCCCGCTTTGCCTGCAGGCTACTACAGCTGTGCGGGGATGAGCGAGGACGTCCCCCACGATGCCCCCGAGCGCTCAGACCCCACCTACCTCTGGCGCGACATGCTGCAGCTGCACTCCGCCTTCCCGCTGCACTGCCTGGTGGGGGGAGGTGAGCGGGCAGGGGCGGTGCCAGGCCCAGGGCGTGCCACGCGGCAGCTGCCTGCACGCCCGTCGCCGTGTGTACTGCAGGGGCCGTGCAGAGGGCTTGGGAGACTGTGGGGATGAGCGCGCTGCGCAGGGGACGTGCGATGCCGGTCTCACCATGTCCCACCTGCCTGGCTGCCCCTGCTGCGTGCCGTCCAGGCGACCAGCTGTACAATGACGGCGTGTGGCAGTGCCCCTGCCTGAAGGCCTGGGGCGACAAAACCGACCAGTGAGCGGCAGCAGCCGGCCGCCCTCACTCCCTCTCTCTCCCCTCTGCCCTGGCTCGCGCCACGCGGCTTGCCGCAGCGCTGCGGAAGTGCATCACGGAGCCGCTGCCAGCCGCCCCTGGCTGCGCTGCCGCTGCCGCTGCTTGCCGAGCCGTGCCGCGCGTCCCCCCTGCCGGTTCCATGCACGGGCGTGCCCTTTTTGGACCCTACCCCCGCCCTCCCCGCAGCGCAAGCAAGATGGTCGACCCCTGGACGGAGGAGATGGAGGGGCAGGCCACCTCCTTCTACCTCACCAACTACATCGACTCCTTCTCCACCCCAGACGCTGACCTGGCGGCCGCCCAGATACCGCAGGCGCGCGGACCGGCCCGGGGTTCCGAGGGCGAGCAGGCTGTGGGCCGCGGGCGCCTCTCTGCCTGGCACAGTTCCGGCTGCCGGCCGCCTGCTCCTGGCATCGCGCTGCCGCGATGGCGCCCTGCCGCCTCCCACTGCGTTCCGTGCTGCTGTAATTGCTGTAGGTATGTATTTGGGATGATCACGATATCTGGGACGGGTGGGGGAGCTACGCTGCGCAGGTGCGCCTGTCATGAGTGCTCTGTCACGATGGGGTGCCGCTCGCTGTGCCGCTCACGAAATGACCATTTCCGGCCGGTCCACAGCGGGCCTAGCAGCCCCATTCAGCAGCAACGCGCAGCGGCTGCACAGGCCGAACAGTCCCGAGTGCCGGGGCCCCCGATTGCCGGGGGCACCCACTGAGGATGTGTGCCGCTGACTCGTGGCCTGCCTCCCCTACCTGTTTGCGCTGTGCTGCAGACGCAGGCCAGCCCCGTCTTCCAGGTGTGAAGCTACCGGCTGGCATTGCCAGGCGGGCACTGCCCCGTGCTGCCGGCGCCGTGGGGCATGCTGCACACCCTGCGGCGGGATGTGGACGCATTGCTTGCATGCATGCATGTGTGCACTCATGCGGCACCAGCCGGACTGTCGAATGCCACACTGTGAGTAGCTTGCGACATGCATGCGCCGGCCCGCAGCACTTGTACCGCGTGGCCCGCCGCTTCTACCTGCTCTTCCAGCAGCACACCATCGACGCCTTCAACGCCCGCGCACAGGAGTTCCTCACCAACGATGGCTCGTGAGCGGCGGGACCCTGCGCTGCTCGCCTGCCCCGCCGGGTGCCTTTTTCCGCCCGCGTGCCGCCCTGGCTTGCCGCCTGCCGCGTGGGGCGCCGTCCCACAGCCACCTGCACCTGCACCTGGGACCGCCTTCCCCACTGCTGACCCCTGCAACTGTAGTGAGTTCCACTTCCTCAAGTTCATGGGGCCGCAGGTGGCGCTGCTGGGGCTGGACATGCGCAGCCAACGGTCCAAGGATCGGGTCATGCCCAAGGTGCGTCCCAACCGGCCGCTGCTGCCATTGGGCTTCCACCGTGGCCGCCGCTGGATGTGGGGCGCCAGCGTGCGTTTGCAGGGCCTGCGGCCAGTGTGCTGCAACTCTCCCGGGGAGCGAGAGCCACAGGGGTGGCCAGCTGTGCAGCCACACGCCTCCGCCTCACAGCCAGCCGTGCCAGCCAATGCCAGTGCAAAATGGAGCCGCCTGTGTCATGCTCCGACCTGTAGGCAACCTACGAGCTGCTCAGCCGCACGGTGGCGGCGCTGCCAGAGGGCCCGCTGCACCTGGTAGTGCTCTCTGGCATCCCGCTCATCTTCCCAAAGGCAGGCGGGGGCAGCGCAAGGGCCGTGCTCGCCCTGGCTGGCTTGTCCTCCTGTCGTCCTGTGCTGCACGCAATTTGCTGCTGCGCGCGCGAGAGCCGGCAGCGGCCTGCCGCCACCGGCCGCCGCCTGCGCAGATCCCGGGGGCAGAAACGCTGCTGGGGTGTATCGGAAGGGTGACGCGCACCATGCCCGCCGTCAGCAGGATGGCCCGCACCACAGGTGGGCGCAGTGGCAGGGCTGCCGCCAGGGGAGCCCTGCGAGGGTGCTTGTGCTGCACGGCTCGCTGGCTGCCTGGGGCTGGTAATAGTGATTGGTGTCTTGCCCCCGCGCACACTGTGGGTAGGCGCTGAGGCCGGCAGGTAGCGCAGATGGTCGCTCGGATCCATCTGCGCTGGATGGCTGCCTGGCATCCTGAACCTCCGGTCCATCATCGTGCGCTGCAGCATCCTGCTGACCCAAAAGCCTCGCCGCGTGTGCAGGGCTGCAGGACAAGTTCGGCAAGCCCGAGATCCTGGATGATCTGAGGGATGGCTGGGTGGCAGATGCGCACGCAGGCAAGCGGGCCGGGTGCTTGCGGTCTGGCAGGGAAGGGAAGGGGCGGCAGAAGCAGCAGCAAAGAGCTGCTGCATGCGCCAGCAGAATGTGGCGGTCATCGGAGCGCCAGCCCGGGTGCTGTGCCCCCCACCCCGGCGCTGTGCCTCGCCCCCGCCCCCCCTGCAGGCGAGCGCCTGCAGTTCATCCGCCTGCTGCAAGAGTTCAGCATCAGCAAGGGCCTGCGGGTCAGCATCCTGTCGGGGGACGCCCACGTGGGCGGCGTCGGCCGCCTGTACAGCCGGCCCAAGATCAAGAACATCGGGTAAGGGTTGGGTGAGGGCTGCCGAGCCTGGCTGGCTTGGCTGGCCGGCTGGTAGGAGGTGCTCACCAGCGCCAAGCACAGCCCCCCTGCGGTCTGGGCAGCACCCTGCTTGCGTCCCTGCTTAAGCTTGCGACCGCCCGGCCTCCGCCACACACGCTGAGAGCATGCGTGTGTGCACACACGCGGCCCGCTCCCATGCTGCCCACCGGGCCGGGGGCCTGGCCCAGCTCCACCTGCGTCACCCCCCCCTGGCGCTACACAGCAGCAAAGGACGGGTTCTTTCCTGCCGTGCAGGGACGACCCACTGTACATGTGCCAGATCATATCCTCCGCCATCGTCAACGCGCCGCCACCCCACCCCGTCACCAAGATGCTCATGCGCACCAACTTTGCCTGTGAGGAGCACCCCTGCCGCGCACCGCCCGAGCACGCACGCCGCGCTGCAGGGTGGCGGCGCTGCCTGCTGCCAGCGCCCCCAGCGCGCCGGCATGCAGTGCTGCTGCCTACTGCCTGTGCTGCTGCACCAGGGGGCACACAGGCTGTGCCCCCTGGACATGTCTGTGGATACTTACTTAGCACTTGACTGCTTGTGCCGCCACCACGCTGATCCGGCGGCCCCCAGGGAACGTCGACTCGCGCACCAGGGAGAAGCTGGAGCGCGCGTTCTACCCCTACCACCCCCGCACCGACAAGCTCATCGGGCAGCGCAACTGGTGGGGCCGGGCCGCCGCCGGTGCTCGGGGGGTGGTGGTGCCTCCCCGCCTTCTGCATGCGCACGTCTGCTTGCCCCTGCCCCTGTGCCCCTGCTGCCCCGGGAGCCCCCGCAACGCTGCTAACCCTTCCTGTGCTTCAGCTGTGTGCACCTGCCCGCTGCCCGCTGCCCGCAGGTGCGACGTGAGCCTGATCGCTCCGCCCTTTGCGGCGCCCACCGCCCCGCAGGACCCCCAGCTGGGCGGGCTGCGCTTTGTGCTGCGAGTGGAGAACCCGCGCCACAGGCAGGCTCCCGGCCTGCCGCGTCTGACGTGCTGCACATCTGGTGGCAAAAATGGTGGCAAACGGGGCCACTCCAGCCTTCCTCTTCCTCCCAATGCTGTGCTAGCCTTCCACAAACCGACTTTCTGCAGGCGGGGCTATGCCGAGGAAACGTACGTCACCATCGTGCCACGCCACCCTGCCTCTCCCAACCTGGATGCCGCTGGCCGCCTGCTGCTCGGCCTGCCCGGCCTGGCGGGAGCTCCCGTGGAAGCCGTGGGGGAGCAGGAGGAGGAGCAGCGCGGGCGCCGCCACCACGGCCTGGGCCAGCGCCAGCAGCGGGAGGTGCGGCTGCCAGCCAACCAGGTGGCGCCGGAGCGGCAGGGCGCTGCCGCGGCAGACGCCTCCGCCAAGGTGGTGCAAATGGCAGGGCCGCCTACGCCACGCCCGGCTGTGGCATGACCTGTACTGAGGTTTCACGGGGTTTCTTGACGGCACTGCTCTGTGGAGGCCTGCTCCTATTACTTCACGACGGGATGACTGCTGAACAGGCATCGAGCAGCAGACCATTTGACAAGTGACATGCATGCGACCAACTTGAAAAACGAGCTGGCTGTGTGAATGCGGGAGAGAGCCAGGCGGGAGAGGCGCGCAGGGCTGCTTGCATTGTCAGTGCGGGTTGCACACCTGCCGCTCGTGCCGGAGCGGGAAGTTCACGACCTGCGTGGCTTCCTGATGCTTTGAAGGACATCAAAAGTATCTTCTAACCCAGCTGGCCCCGGCTTGGCGAATAAGGGGAAGAGGAAGAGGTTGCACGAACGCCTAATAATGGGCAGGTGGCGGCGGTGGCGGCGGCGGCGGCGGTGGCGCAGTACATCTGTACACGATGTTGCTTCCTTCCTGTGCACAATCGGGGCAACGATCCGGGGCAACGATCCGTGTAATTTGCCGTCTTCTCAGCGGTCGCGGGCTCCAGGCGCAGGGCAGCATCGGCACAGGTTGGAGCGCTGCTTCTTGCCGTCTTGCGGTTGCGGTGCAGCGGGGTGGTGCCAGGCAGTGAAATGCGATAGCCGATTGCCGGCGATGACACCCCGGCGAGCATGCAGTTTGCGCCGCCCCGCGCCCTGCGCATGCGGGCCCCTCACCGGCGGCACTGGGCATCATCAGCAGCATCTGGTCGTTGGGTAAAAGCTGGAGACGTCAGGCGGCCCATCACCTGGCGAGCCGGTGGGAGCTCCAGCCTCTCTGTTCCCCTTTCCCACCGACGCAGGTCACAATGCCGCCCAAGAAGAAGGAGGAGGTGAAGGAGAAGCCCATCCTGGGCCGCTTCAGGACCAACCTGAAGGTGCGCAGCCGCAGCCAGCGGCGGCTGGCAGCAGCGCCGCAGGCTCTGCCCGGAGACCCTCAGCACAGCCCTGCCTGCCTGCATCGCCGAAACGGTGGCTCCCAGTAGGGCCAGCAGCAGCTGGGCACGCTGTCCACCACATGCCCGTGTATCACACCCGCCGCAGCCCCCGCCGCTTGCTGCACCAAACCGCTGGCCTCAACTGCCCTGCCGCTGCCTGCCGCCCGTGTGCGCAGATGGGCATTGTGGGCCTCCCCAACGTGGGCAAGTCCACCCTCTTCAACACCCTCACCAGGCTGTCCATCCCCGCCGAGAACTTCCCGTTCTGCACCATCGATCCCAACAACGCCCGCGTCGTGGTGCCCGACCCGCGCTTTGACTGGCTGGTGAGCGATGCAGCTGGCCTTGCATGGTGGTGCTGCTGCGTGTGCATGTCATGAGCGCAGGAGTGCGACGCGGCGCTGAGTGGGGTGGTGGCGAATGGTTGCATTCAAGCCCGGCCAATGTAGGAGCCCGCTGCCGTAGTATGGTAGTGGCCCGAGGCTGAGCGGAGCTGCGGGCCGGCTCGCCCGCATTGCCTGCCGGCAGCGCCACATGCCCTGCTGCTGCTGCTGCCGCCTGCACCTCACGTGCCCCGCCCTGCCCCGCCCTGCCCCGCCCTGCCCTGCGCTGCACTGCCCTGCCCTGCCCTGGCTGCAGTGTGAGAAGGTGCAGCCCAAGGCTACTGTGCCCGCCTACCTGGAAGTCTGCGACATTGCGGGGCTGGTCAAGGGCGCGGCAGAGGTGCGGGCAGCGCAGAGCCGGCGGCGCCGCGCAAGCGGGCGGCGGCCGCGCCTGCGTGTCCTGCGCGTGTGCGTGCGGGTGGCGGGGAGAGCCCAGGAGGAGGGGTGCTGCGATGCGCTGTAGCGTGGCGGGCAATTTGGGCCCTGCCTGCCTGCCTGCCTGCCTGCTCCACCAGTGCTGCCCGCCTGCACCTGCCCGCGCCGCCCTTCCTGCAGGGCCAGGGCCTGGGTAACTCCTTCCTGTCCCACATCTCCGCTGTGGATGGCATCTTCCATGTCTGCCGCGCCTTTGACGACGCAGACGTGGTGCATGTGGAGGACAGGGTGGACCCTGTGGAGGGTGAGACCTGCGGGGTAGGGGCCAGTGGAGGGTGGGCCCCGTGGAGGGTGAGCCCTAAAAGAAACAAAAACTGCAGGGCAGGGGCCAGGGTGGGCCATGTAGACCCTGCTGGAGCCCTGCGGGGTAGGGGGCAGCGGAGGGTGGGCCCTGTGGGACCAGTAGTGGCGGGCCCGGAGGGTGCACCCCAGGGGTGGGCGACGGGGTGGCTGCGCGTGTGCAGCAGGTGCGGCTGTTGGTTGTGGGGCGGGGGTGGAAGGAGCAGGGTGGATCCCGGTGGAGGGACCTGAGCCCTGGGTGCCAGGGCGGGGTGTGCGGCATGGGCGGCTGGACTGCCAGAGGGCCCAGCACGCACGGACCATTGCCGGCAGCCCCTGCCGCTCCTCTTGGTTGCAGCACAGGCACAGGGCAGCTGTCCAACGCCGCCGCTGCCGCCGGCCCGTCCTGCTGCGGCTGCTGTGCCTCCTGGCCCTCACATGTGGGCTGTGCTGCTGTGCCTGCTGTGCCTGCTGTGTGCAGACCTGGACATCATCCACGCCGAGCTGCGGGCCAAGGACATTGAGAACTGCAACAAGATCCTTGAGGGCTTCAAGAAGATTCGCATGGTGAGAGGGGAAGGGAGGGAGGGAGCGGGAGAGAGAGGGAGTGAGAGAGGGAGAGCTGGCGCCAGCTGGCCGCGCATGCTGCCCACCCTGCCCAGCTGCCACTGCAACAGCACGCCGCCGCCGCCCCGCCTGCCCTGTGCCGCCCGCATGCCCCGCCGACCGCGACTTTCTTCCTGCCGCCGCGACTTGCTTTTCCACCCTGTTCCGTTCCACTCCCCTGCAGACGCTGACCAAGGAGCAGAAGGACGAGCAGGCCAGCGCAGAGAAGGCGCTGGCGTGGCTGGAGGTCAGTCCCTTTTTGCCCTTGTTGTTGTTTTCGTTGGGGCCGGGGCGGGCCGGCGAGCGGGCGGCATGCCGCGAGGCTCACAAAGGCAGTGTGAGCTGGGCAGGCCGGGTGGTGGCCGTGGTGCCGAAACAAGGCCCGCTCTGTGCTTACCTCCTTCTGCCTGCCTGCCTGCCTACCTGCCTGCAGGAGGGCAAGGACATCCGGTTTGGCGAGTGGACCCAGAAGGATGTGGACTGGCTCAACACGGTGCAGGTGGGCAGCTGCGGCTGGGCTGCATGCCTGTGGCAGCGGGCAGCGGGGCAGGAGGCGCCACCTGCGGCTCTCGTGCTTCCGCTGCACCACCACCACCGTCACTCATAGACACGCACACACACACACACCAAACCACCAAGTGCTGCACCTGCCCCCGCGCGCTGCCGCCCCCCCACCCCCGCCTCTCACCCCTCCTTCCCTCCACACGCGCACACGCCTGCGCACCGCAGTTCCTCACCGCCAAGCCGGTGGTCTACCTGGTCAACCTGTCTGAGCGCGACTACCAGCGCAAGAAGAACAAGTGGCTGGTGAAGCTTTTTGAGTGGGTCAAGGCGCACGGCGGGGACCCCATCATCCCCTTCAGGTGGGGTGGTCGGCGGGGGGCGGGTGATGGCTGCCTGGGTGGCTGAGTGGGGGGCGGGTGGGGGCTGG